TACTTGTACTTTTACTCAAGTATCACTTTGTGTTACTTTGTACAACACTGTTTGTTGGCCCACCCTCAGTATTAGCTGTCTGTGTAAAGGAGCAGTGGAACAGGTGGACCTGATTATAGGGGTCTGTGTCTGGTGTTCTGTCTCCCTCTTGTGTTCTCTTTGTGTCATCACTCTCTCATCTCACCTCARTCTGTTTACACTAAAAGCAATTTCCCCCAAAAAAGTTACTCAGGTAAATATAGTTGATGTAAGCTTTATTTAAAAAAAGGGACAATATACAACTCAAACATGTCACCATTTGAAGCGCTGTGYCAGATTATTGCATAAGATAATTTGCATCTGCAGCCCTTTGACAAGTTGAAAAAATGGACATACAGTGCAATAACAAAACATAACAGAATATAACACTTCAAGTTGCTTTCTAATCACAATACACAAACACACAAGTGCAGACTGGCACACACACACACACACATCCCTACAGTTAATACATATCTGCACTGTTTAACAGTTTCTTCAAGCTAAATTTGAAAGCTCTCAGAGAGCTGCAGCTCCTCACATCAGGCAGTGTGCTCCACTGAGTAGCCTTTACAGAAAAAGCTGATTACCCGTTAACAGAACAGTGAAATGGGACGACACAATCCCTCACAGATGATATTCTCATAGATTGGATCGATCTGAGCCACAGCTCAGAAAAGGAGTGAAAGAGTTAAGTTTCTGGAACACTGAGAACTCAGATAAACTGAACAATGAGTCAGGCACAGGGGAATAAAGGTGAAGTATTTATTTACAGGTGAAAAATAAAGTWACTCCAAAGACACTGGACCAGTCTGAAAACATGAAGGTGAGAGTTGAGCCTCCAGGTGAGGATGATTTGGATAAATTCAGAATTGGTTTGTGTCTTATTTGTTTTCTGTTGTTTCAGGCTTGAAATTGAGGACAGTACATCCAGGAGAGGACAGGCGAGGTGGTGCAGGTGGAAAGCAGAACGGACGAGGAAGAACCTGAAAGCACAAAGGTTCTGGCAAGAGAGGAACGTGGAGCTTGTTGGAGAGCACATAAGAAGCACAGGTCAGAAAAACATCTCTACGTTTCATCTTGTAGCAGCTGATAAAAAAATACCCAAAGGTTTTTTAATGTTCCAGCRTTGAACAGAGGAGTCAAGGTCCTTACATACAGAGTGAGCTCATCACTGGAACCATCAGCAGCTGAGGGAGAAGTGGCTCCACCTGCAGGAGCAGGTGTTAAAGAGACAGGAACWATCTCCAGAGGAAGAGGGGCTTGTGGAGTTACAATAAGGAGTAATTCAAACCAAAGCATTGCAGTTTCACTGTATATAGACCCCAACTGAAGGATTTAAATGTGAAAAGAAGGATGTAAAATGTCTCCTTTAAGAGCTACATGAAGTCATGCTGTGTTGGTGGGCAGGACCACAGTGTAAACAACCACAGCCAACCTGTTCAGCAGGTAGATGATATCAAATCAGTGTTCCTGAGGTCTAAACAGCACACKGATCAGTTTCCACTTCCTCCTCACAGAGCAAACCTTTGGGTCAAAGGTCACTCCGCTCATTCCTGGCCGGTAAACTTCAGAAGCAATGACAGCTTTCTACAATCAGGAAATGATTTTTATTAGCTACAGAACAGAAGCTTATTCTGGTGATGTGGGAATGATTCAGCATGAGCTGAAACAGATTCATGAGCTCATTGTTCCACCTGTGTGTGTGTGTGTGTGTGTGTGTGTGTGTGTGTGTGTGTGTGTGTGTGTGTGTGTGTGTGTGTGTG